CCTAAGCAAAATTGACGAAACAGGTGACCATTACTCTTTGAATATTTTCCAATGGTTCTCTAACCAATGTCAGCGCATGATGAAATCTTTCAACCAATGAAACAAAATCCCTACAAAGCAATAGCTGAAAATATATGTAATATTTGTTGTCGTTACACTAATGACCAGTTATGCAGTGAATGTATCATCACATAGGTATTTTGTGAGTGAAGACCGGAATAAGACAAGGCTGACTGTCTATTAGCACAGATGATGTTTCCTGACTGTGGTGGATTGGATTCTGTGGAGGACTCTGCCTGACAGGGGGAGAAGACAGGAATATGCTGGACCGATGAAAAGACTCTTAAAGTTCTTGAAGTTCGCGCCTCCATGATTTATGTTCACTGTCATAGTAACTCGAAGACTTACAGGCAAAAACCAACAAACTGGTGGAACAGGCAGGCAGGCAGGCAGTAAAGACACGACTCTATATGAACATAAAGAAAACGCAGGTGATGAAGATAATCAGTCACCACCACCAGTGTGGGGGAAATTTAGAAGAGGTCACTTCTGTCACTTATCTTGCCAAGCGATAGAATACATGAGAATTTCAAAGCTGATCAGAATTGGAAAGGCAAGATACACCTTCATTCATCTGAGATGAGAGACTGGAGGTCTTCTCAACTGTGCCTCAGCATGAAGAAGAAGATTTTGATTTTCAACCCCTATGTTATTATGTGAGTGAGTGAGTGAGTGAGTGAGTGAGTGAGTGAGTGAGTGAGTCAGTCAGTCAGTCAGTCAGTCAGTCAGTCAGTCAGACAGACAGACAGTCAGTCAGTCAGTCTTTATGTGTGGATCTGAAAATTGTCCAACGCTTTTAGATAGCATCTATAACAGACTACTGTGAACTTTTATCATCAGTTGCCCTATTCACTGGATTCATATTGTAGATCAGATAGATGGCTGGTTGACTGGGTAGGAGGAATTAGCAACAGGAGACTTTGGAAACGAACCAATGAAGAAATATTCTGCAAACAATTGTGGATGGATTAGGCTCATATCTTGAGGAGACCACTGTCCAATGATCTCGTGCTCAATGCACGCTATCAGTCAACTGTACATCGCATAAGAAACGATTCATTGTACGCTGGTTCAAAGGTGAAATAAATGCGATAAGATACCATGGGTAGTATGGGACCTAAACGATGAAGAGGATGGTGGAAAATAAGGCAAAGTAGTGACATTACTTCTGAATGTGTGTGTGTTCCCGTTGTCCGAACCCAAAGGAATAATAATAGTAATAATTCTATTTATACTATTCGCACTTATTATAAGTATTATATTGTCTATTTTCTGAAAAAAAAGCCTCAACTTGTTTCATTTCGCGCACTGGTTATTATTTCATGATGAAATATTCACCACACTGGCAATATCTTCTATTGAATGCTTACTGTCTTTGTATACTAGCCCCACTGATCTGACACCTTTTATAACCTTGAACTGAGTTGTCAATTTTCCTTCCCCACCATTTGTCTCTAAGGTGCTTTTTTGGATAAGCCCAACGGAGATGAATTATGACTTAAATCGGCTACATATCTAGAGTGAGCTGTTGTTTCTTCAATGGTACACTTGAGTTTTGTCTGTTCTAGGTTGGTCATGAAAATATCATCTAGTACAGGACCCAAGAGACACCTCCCCATTCGCCACTCCATCAATCTTGCGATACATTCTGTTGTCAAACTAGAAGTGTATGTATATCCTCGGTACATAACATAAGAATCTGCTTAAACTTCAGTTTTAGCAGAGGAAGCAAATCAGCATGTTGGCAGCTGATGTCTAACGTCTCATGTGCCTAGGTGTTTCCGATTATAGGAGCTAAGAACTTTAAGCTCTTCAGTTACTAAACACCTGATGGATATAGGACACCGAATAGACGCACTGGCATAATACAAAATAATTAACAGACAAATTAACTCAAATATCCTTCGGTTTGCTGAAGCTGCTGCAATAAAACGGTTCAAACCTACCTCATCGATGTGTCTAAAAAGCAATCTGTCATTGAACTTTATTATTTGGCAAAATGGAGAACGAGTCTAGCATTCATTTCCTCGATGTGAAGTTATCAAGGAGGATCAATGGAACTCTGAACAGATCAATTTATAGAAAGCTGTCATAGAATGGTCAACTGACTAATTTTTTACAGTCGGTTACCCATTGGTCAAAAACGAAACTTGATCCAGTCGCTTGCCACTCACATTCTACGCATATGTAGTCCTGATACTGTGGAGTAAGAGTTAACTCTTTTGAGAAAAATCCTAAGAGACAATGAATTTCTACCACGTTTTGTAGACATGAACATAAAGTCAAATCCTATGAAATGTGACTTATCATCAGTACCCAAGAAAATATTGTACATGAGTTTGGAATTCCAAGGTGAGTTAGCTTCCGATATCATTAAAAAAAGGATCTCATAGTCCCTGTGCGTCGGTGCACAGTGGTTAGGACTCTCGCCGACCATGCACATGGTCCGAGGTTCGAACCCCTGCCGACGCACACCTGGTCGGCCTGCAAAATTTGGGCTACCGATATCCATGCTGAAAATTCCACACTTGTACCAAAAATACAGTGTGGAATCAAGCTGTAATAAAAAAAATAATAAAAAAATAAAATTCCTTGCAGCATCGTTGAGAATAGCGTTTTCCAGTTGACCATTACTGTTCACTAACCTCCTGAAGGACAAGATCCCTCGGTTGACTAACTCTGTGTGGATTTATCATTTCACCTACTCGTGTGAAGCTAGCTATATTGGTCGTTCGATTCGATTTTTGTTCAAGAGGGTTCAAGATCCCTGTCTTACATGTTAGTTACAGAGGTGTGGAAGTGGAGAAGTAAGAAGCGCAACCGCTGAACATATGGTCGATACTGGTCATCCTATCTCTCTACAGTCTCAGCCTTTAAAGTCATTTACAGGATGAAAAATAATTTGCCCAAATCATTACATATCCATCCAACTGATCTGTATTGCTAAAGCAACTTTGACCATCGAAATATAAAAGCGAAATCTCTGTATACAGAGAAACTTTGTTCAACTCCTCTTACTTTTGAATGGCTAGTGCCTCGGCTATGCCCAGATGTCTTGATTTCGCTCCCTTTGATAGGTTTGATTGAATCTTGTATATTATTTTGAAGGATTTTTCTAATAGCGCTGAATGTTCTAAATCGACCAGATGTTCTGCCACTGAACTTTATACACGTTTTCGTTTTCCTTTTACTAACCAGGCTGGATAGTGTTCATGAACGGGTTTTTCAAGTTGGCGTTAAGGACGGTTGATGTACCCAGCTCCTCACGAGCAAGTAAACTGGTATATGCACATTGAAATGGCCCTCTAACTTTCATGGCCTTAATCCGTCTGTGTCAATAAAGTATGATAATCCTTTGCATATGTTGGCTACACTAATTTTTTTCGTTTTGTTTATTTAGAACGACACATTTAAGCGAACAGGGATATTGTGCTTTCAATTAGATCTCATCAGGTTTAACTCTAATATACCTACATAAATTTACAAATAAAAATTCAAATATAAACCAATCTTTGGTGTTTTGTCCATCGGATAATATGATTGTGCATATAAATTGTGCAATCAGTCATAATAGTGTGGTGAGAGCAGGCCGTGAGAAAATATGTACAAGGCTGATTCAACAACCAATCACAGCAAAGTTAACGTGGCAAAATATGATTCGCAGATAGAGAACTCTATTTGTCGAGGAATCCCGAAACAACCAATCAGAAGCCTGTGTTTGTCTGCCTAACTTCTGATAAACAACCAATCAAATGACCGCGCTTGTCTACTTGCATAAGCTATAATAATGTATGTGAAATATGTATAAATACGTGTTGATTTTCATAATGAAACGATCTGTTGCCTGGCCCTTGTCTTCTGTTGTTACAATAGTAGTAATGATAACAATAATAATGACAGTTTTTACCTATTTGAATGTGCGTGTGGACAAACATACACATAGGGAGGACTCATCGATCTCTGCAAATAAAGGCTGGATTCAGAGCACATTCCTAAATGGCTCCAAAAAGCAATGTAAATTTTCCCCGAACTGTGTTGAACTAACAATGAGGCATAGCATGATCACTAGACAACGTCGTCGGTTCGAACTCAGATGGATGCCTATTAATGAAAAGCAAACTCAAACTAGGCTGACGACGAAACTCCCAGCTGTTCAGTGCTGACTTCCTGGTGGTTTTCTAATGCTTCTCTAAGCGATGTCGACTCATAGTGAAATCCTCTAACCAATCAAATCAAAGCAGATCAAATCCCCACAAACCAACACTTGAATATCAATCTAATGCTCCCTAATGATTGGCCCTATTCAAGTAGGTAGATGGTTACCTGAATTCTTCTAGTGGGAAGTCGGGACCAGTGGGGTGGAGTACACTGGATCAGGTGTGAGAAGAAATACTCTCCAACGACATTAGCTAGTGTTGGCCGCGCTATCTCATGAATTGGTAGAAGTTGGAACCCTTAGCCTGGCTATTGGATCGTATCCTAGTGGTTGCTTAGTGGTTTACCAGTTAGCCAGCTTGTAAATTGAAGGTCAACAGGTTCAAACCCCCAGTGGTAGGTGCGTACCGCTGAAGAGTCTCAAAGTAGGGTGACGAAACAGCTAGCTGTCCAATACTCACTCTCTGGTGGTTTTTCAATCATTCTGTAACTGATATCAATACCGCTGATCACAGACTTGATACTTGATCAAATCCCCATGAAAGAAGCTTTTAAAAATGAATCTTTTTTTATAAATCATCTTTTATTATACAAAAGAAAGAAATAATGACTGATTTATTTTTTTACTGAATACAATACCATACTACTTAATTTGCTACTGTAAAGTAGTAAGAGAGAATCAAAAATGCTTCAAAATATATATATATATATTACATACAACAATCTAGAATATGTGATGTGTGTTGAGAGTGTTTCTAAAACATCCTTTGATGGCGATGACTGTGTTAGATCATAACTTCTTCATGATGATGATGTTGATGATGATGTGATGCATGAATTTCATTGAATTCTGATGTTGTTGATGGTGTATGCGAGACGACTAGAATATCTGTACCATGAATATATGTGGGACTAGAGCTTATTCTTTCATTGGTGTCTAATCTATATTCTCTTTGTTCTCTAATGCTGTCTAACACTTCTTTACTTTTACCGACAACATCTTCGTCGTCATCGCCGTCATCATCATTGGTGGTGTTGTTGTTGTTGTTGTCGACGACGCCATCTCCATCATCTTCTTCTTCATCATCATCGTCATCTTCTTCACTAGTGTACACACCTAATTCTCGTAATTCCTTGACAGTCAGACATTGTGGTGAATCAGCATAATAGTCATTTTCACCAATTTCAGGTATGGCTAGTAGAACAGTAGCTGATAGCGGAGGAAATTGATCATAATTTTGATGATCATTACAGTAATAATAATAATAATGATTACAGGATTGATAATCTGAGCATTGATCGCTTATTGCTGATGAGCATGATGATCTGTTTTGATCCGCTGCTAGTGTATGCTGAACCAGTTGATTAGGAAATGAAGTTGACTTGGCTAATATGCAAAGGGAGAAGTAAAAGTGTGTATACAATTAGAAATATGGCGAAAATATTCATTCAGGTATTTATAGAAAAACAAAATATTTTTTTAAATATTCCCATTTATAATATTAGAACAAGACATATAAGCGAACAGTATTGCTGTTTTCAATTAGATCTTATTCAGGCTTTACTCTAATTTACATAGACTTATATATATAAAATTTTAACCAATTACGGTGATTTTGTGGATCAAATAGTAATAATCATAATAATAATACGGCAGTAAATGTTTTGAACGAAGTTAATAACGATGATTATAATGATAACAAAATATTGATACTTTCTATAGTTTGGTTTGTAAGGATTAGTTATGTTTTACGAGTTGATCACGGATTGATATCAGTTAGAGAACCATTGAAAACCAGCACTGGAGTACTGGACAGCTGCTGTTTCATCCTAGTTTTGGGAATCATCGGCAGTACTCACCCACTGGGTTTCGAACCCAGGACCTTCCTGTTACAAGGCAAGCTCGTATAACATTAGAATTCATGAGCTATTGAATCGGGTCCCAGTGGCTGAATGGTATACGAGCTTGCCTTGTAACAGGAAGGTCCTGGGTTCGAAACCCAGTGGGTGCGTACTGCCGATGATTCCCAAACTAGGATGAAACAGCAGCTGTCCAGTACTCCAGTGCTTGTTTTCAATGGTTCTCTAACTGATATCAATCCGTGATCAACTCGTAAAAAATAATGATAATAAGGCTTATATAGGTGATAAGAATAACAATGTTAGTTTATGCATTTGTGTAGACAATTCAATAAATAAATAAATTAGGTGAAATCAAATGGAACGGTAATCAGAGTTTAAATAAATATCATAAAAGTACGAAGGAGAGGGATGATAAGAAAGGGTGGGAGGGTTTTGAATAGAATTCACCTAGGCCAAGAGAGAGACAAAGGTAGAACAAATTTCTTTTGTATACAAAGACTAGGATTGTTCTCTCGAATTCCCATAGCTTCGGCTAAGTGTAAAAGACGGGTTCTGATTCCGTTCGAAAGACTTGATGGAATGCGGTAAATAACTTTGAAAGCACTATTTTTGTCCACTTGGTGACCACTATCAATCAAATGAGCCAAAATACAACTTCGTATGGATTTTATTTAACCTTTTCCGAACCATGAAGGAAGATGCTCATTAATACGTTTGTTAAGCTGTCTAGTTGTTCGCCCTATGTAGCCAGCTCTTTCCACAGGAGCAACTAAATTTATAGATACACATGGAAGTGGAACAACTAAGTAGCTTGTCTTTCACTTGAGCAATCATAATTGGTCGGCAGTTGGAAAATGACAAACAAAGGGTGGTGGCAGTATAAGTTCGTTTTATCGCTCTCGATAATCTCAGATGTAAGACTTAGCTTGCCACGTCCCCATTATATTTCAGTTTCATGAACAGTTGTTTCGTTTCAACTGTTGTCAGTTTCTCTTTATTGTACTTGATGTTCATTTGTCTGAGCAAAGAATATACTTTTCGATAATTTCCTCTTCTGGTTCTACAATTATATATACATATGGTTATATACATAGAATATTCTAGAATAGTAGTCAATAAAAATATTCGTATTTTTTTAAATAATATTGATTTGTAAAGTACGATCAATGGAATGAGAGTTCATTAAAAATGCTTAAATATAATAGCAAATAGAATATCAACTCAAATTAAGGAAACTTCTACAAAAATTTGAGGATCATTCTCATCTAGATGGCCAAGGTAAGGACAATGTCTGAACTAGCTTCTTAATGTGGATCCCAACGGCCTCAGCAAAATTTAGTAGTTGGACTCTTAAGGCGAAATTGAGATTTGTTGGTATGCGGTAAATGACTTTGAAAGCTGTCTCGTTGACATCAGTCTTGTGTTCTGTATCCACAAGATGGGATGGAATAGCGCTACGAATAGATTTTGTTTGTCCTTTACTTAACCACTCTGCAGGGTGATGTTCGGAAATCCGACAAGAAATACGCCTAATTGTACGGCCTATGTAACTGGCTCCACAAGAGCAGTTAAATTGGTAGATACACATGGAAGAGACGAAATTAGGCAGTTTATCGTTTACTCCTGAACGCAAAATAGGAGTGATTTTGAAGACACAGCGTAATTCATCAGGAGAGAATGCTTTTTTACCGCCTTTCTAAGGCGCTATGTTAGTATCTGGCTGATACTGTCCCCGAGGAAATGAATTTGTAGGAATAAGGTAAATAAAGGTATTTAAGCGAAATTTATAAAGTAAAACTGTAACTTGGAGGAATGACCTTTAATTATTATTGTGGTGAGAGCTGGCTGCTAGCGAAAGTTGGTAGACAGTAATTTACGTCAGTGTTTATGTCCTCAATATCGACCGTGAGAAAAATGAGAACAAAGGCTTCGCGTAGGCGGATACAGTTGGCATATAGATGATCTGACGTTCAAGAAACAGTCACAAAGAGATGTAAGGTTAACTTTCTGTGAGAAACAACTAATCAGAAGACTGTGTTTTTCTGCTAACAATAATCTATAATAATGTACCTGAAAATCTATAAATATGTGTTGATTTCCTTAATAAACGATCTGTTTGGCTGACCCTTGTCTTCTGTTGTAACATTACTATCCCCTTGGATTTCCAGTGGAACATGCGGTTTTTAATACCGCATTACCATTTCTTTCTGTTCTCTGCGACCCTCTACATCAATTATCCCTAAGATTGCCTATAGGCCTTCATGTCCTCCATATCACCTCAAAGTCACCCTCCGACATATATCCAACTTTTCCTGATGTCACCTAACGGTTTCCTCAGAGCCCATGTTCAATCCGTCCTCATTCACTTCTGCACATTTGTTGGTTAACAGGATCTTAGTTACTTTGTTCCCAGAGTTTCTTGTTGCTAAATCCTTTCCGTTTGATCATCCGATCTTCAGTATGGAGCCAAGGAATAGGTCAGTGGTTGACAAAAATACTTCACTAGCCTGTTCAAAATGCCTTTCTCATCCAAGCTAGGTTTAAACAATCCTCATCCACTCTGTCTCCTTTGCCTGAGGCTATTGTAACGACAGAAGAAAAAGGTAGGCAATAGATCGTTTATTGAGAAAATCAAGAGGTATTTGTGTGCATTATCTTTAGCGTTATTGTTAGCGGAAAAGCAACGTCTTCTGATTGGTTGTTTTCTTGCTGAAAGTTATTTTGTCATCGTTTTGTGGCTGTTTCTCAGAAAATCAAGCCATATATCTGTAAATCATATTTCCACACTTTAACTCCACTGTGATTTGCTGGTGATTTTCTCAAGGTTAAGCCTTGTTATTGTTTTTCTCATGATCCTGATTCAAAACGTAACATTGAGGTAAATTTCTGTCTACAATTTTGGCTTCTTCGCAGCCAGCTCTCAACATACCATGACGTCTAGATAAGTGTGATCGGTGGCTCGCTTCGAGTTGCTCCCTTTGACTGTGATCGGTGCTTGTTGTTGTTGTTGTTTGGTGGTTATTGATTATCTTCATCTCCTCTGCCGTTTCTATGTTCATTTGATATTCCATCTTCTCTCTCCTGCCAAATTGTTAATTTTCGCATGGTAGATCGTTGGGTTTGTCTGAGAAGTTCAAATCTTCCAGAATCTTCATTGTCCGCCTAGCTTTGTCTTCCACCTGTTTTCACTTCAAAGTCTTTGTTGAGTTTTCCATTGTGGGTTACTTGACATATGACATTGTCATATAACTATTTAATTGAATTTTAGATTTTCCCATCGATTGATTGGACCGAAGTGCTCGGTCCCAGGTTTATACGTCGGCTTCTTGTGCTGATGCTTCGACGATGTCTGGGCATTTAATTGATGGATGGTGACTAGGAGTGGTGGAATCCAGAATGCACATTTCGTTCAATTTGGGACCCGTCGTCACGTCACATTCCCCAGTCAGTGAGTGATGATGTTCCTACCTAGGCTCAAATCCGGTGCCCATAGTTTCAAACGCCAAAGCGTTATCCACTTGCCCACAGATGACGAGTCCCAAATAAGACGAAATGTGCGTTATCTTGGATTCCACTGCTATTCACCATCCACCAATTAAATTGTCATATAACTGTTGAATAAGATTGATAAAAATTTGGATCAATGCATTCTGTAGAGTTTAACTATGTTCGGAATCACTCCTTGGTCAACGCCACATTTTGATACATTGATATTGCCTATAAGAGGATAGTACTTACCCAGTTAGTCGACACACTTTTAGTTCATAACATCACAGATTGGTTGCCCATAATCTAGTTTACCTTTGCATAAGTTGGATATGATGATACAGGGCTAAGTTAAACTTTAGGCACCACTAACAACCAATCAGCAAACGACCTTGAATGGTCCAGTGAGGTTCATCCACGAGAGTTCAAGGTTGTATTCTGCTTGATTCGTTTCAAATGTCTGTTCTAACGAAGTTACGATTGTAGTTCGATGAGAATAAAGTTTTGCAATATTGCCTGGATTTGGGATTGCTTAGGAAGGAGAGGATTTGTTCATGTGGAGGTGTCATCAGTTTAAAAAGCTTTAGCAGGTCGATTGATGGATATATCCATCGTTGTGCAATTTGTTTGAGACATGTTAGTATTGAGGAAGGTAAGCTGATAATTTTAATATTTCGTAGGAACATTTTTTGCTAGGTCGCATCTCTCTCTAATCCGGATTTTGTATATTTGTAATTACGGGGTTTTAAAACAGCCTGTGAGAGATGCAGTTGCTGAAACTAAAAATAGCCTTATGTCAACAGTTTAGTGGTACCAGCACTGCAGAGACATCAACTCACGGAAAATGGAGAGAATTACTTCATTATTAGGAAGGAAAAGTGTCGTCATAAATGTGGATGAAAGTGTCTTAGTGGAGAAAAAATACAACCGTGGTCGTGAGCGTTCAAACAATGTCTGGGTGATTGGTTTGCATGACACCTCCCTGCAGAAAGAATTCGTGGAGAGAATACCAGACAGAAAGTTAACCACCTTAGTACCTATTGTCACTCGACTGGTGAAACAGGGATCTATAGTACATACTAATGAATGGAAGGGTTATAACTCGCTGTCATTCCTTGGATATATTCATCACAGAGCGAGCCATTCTAGCGCAGTCTTGCTAATACCTTTACACGGACATACGTGAATTCTATAGAAAGATTAAAAAACAGGATTATGGCTATAAATGGATCTCAAAAGGATTTCATTTATAGTCATTTGGATGAATATATGGACAGAATGTGGTGTAACTATTCCATTGACACTTCAGTGATAAACTTGGAAATTTTACTGTCACATTTTAGGGAAAGATACCCTGTGTAACAGTTTTATGCAGTTTTTATGCATTTTTTGCATAAACATATGTTTTTCACAACCAAAATTCCCTCCTTCATGTGATTGGTTCGTTGAAAGTTGTTCGCTGATTGGTAGATACTGGTGCTTAAAGTTTAACTTGGCCACTTAATCAATTCAAATTCACAAAATTGCCTAGCTGATCTAAAAGTTCCAGAAAATCAATAAATAATTCTAAAAAAAATTGAATATACTATGGTTGAAATGTGCTGAAGACTTACTCAGTAGAATTTCCTGTTTCTCGTCCGAATCTTCATTTGATTTAACGATTACCTCTGGATTGATGACTGGACTGTTCTGTGTAGAATTGGAATTTTCGGGGATATCTAAATTTGTAGAAGTATTTTCAGTTATCGAGGCGGATGTTGTCGTCTTTGAATAATTTTCATTTGTCAGTATCTTTGTTGTTATTTTTTTCTTGCCTTGATAGTGACACTCTTCGATAGGTCCAAATTTAACCTTATGCATAGTGAATAAACAATAATATCGATTGAGAAGACATTATTTACAGAAATGTTTTGTTCTACTATACAGCAAACTCGCACTTTATCAATGCAATCTGTTATTTAAAAGTTACAAAATGAAAAACCTGACTATTATGTCATTCATCACCTATTGGACAGGAGATAATATACAAAACTATGTAAGACTAAGATAAGTAGCCTACTAGACCGTTGCCTAGTAACCGGAAGTTCCTGAGTTTTAACCCCAACAGTAGGTGGGTACTACTGTAGAGTCCCGAACTAGGCTGACGAAATATTCGTTCAATACTCTCACGCTTTCCAGTAGTTCTGTAATCCTTAATATAGAACACAGATAATAAACATCATTTTTTCTATAGTTTGGTTTGTAAGGGTTAGTTATTTTTTTTATAAGTTGATCACGGATTGATATCAGTTAGAGAACCATTGAAAACCAGCACTGGAGTACTGGACAGCTGCTGTTTCATCCTAGTTTTGGGAATCATCGGCAGTACGCAAGGCACCCACCACCAGGGTTTCAAACCAGGACCTTCCGGTTACAAGGCCAGCTTGCTCGTATACCATTCAGCCACTGGGACCCGATTCAATAGCTCGTGAATTCTAACTTATACCAATTCGTGATTTAGCGCGACCCTAACCATTGTCGTTGGTGGGACATCCATCCACACACGTGACATCTAATTGGACCTCACTGGTCACGACTTCTCACTAGAACTCAGGAAACTCCAACCTGTAGCAAGTCACTAGCGAGCATCAGATTAATTTTCTATAGTTTTGTTTTTTAAGGGTTAGTTATGTTTTTACGAGTTGATCACGGATTGATATCAGTTAGAGAACCACTGCCTATGATCCCCAAACTAGGATGAAACAACAGTTGTCCAGTAGTCCCTGCTTGTGTTCAATGGTTCTCTAACGGATATCAATCCGTGATCAACTCGTAAAAACACCACTTTGCTGTACTATTCACTCTTTTAGCCAACCATACATTTTTAAAACTGTCGTTCCTGACATTTATTATTTTTGTTCTGTAGTGAGAGCTAGCTATCAGCCAAAAATTGTAGACAACAATTGACGTCAATGTTCACATCCCGAATCGTGGCCATAAGAAAAAACAGTAACCTTGAGAAACTCACTAACCAATCACAGCTGACTTAATGTGTGCAAATAAGATTCGCAGATATATGGCTTAACTTTCTAAGAAACGGCCACCAAGCGATGACAGAATAACCCTCAGCCAGAAAACAACCACTGAGAAGATGTTGCTTCTCTGACAAGCATAACGTTAATAATAATAATGTACACAAAAGTCTATAAATATATATCTGTTGATTTTTTCAATAAACGATCTGTTGACTGACCATTGTCTTCTGTCGTTACAATGCAATCACACAAAAGTAGCAGTACAGAAGCAACTGTTATTCAAGAGAAGATTAAAACGAATTGAAAAGTCAATAAATTACATTTACATATACATGTATGTGTAAGAAGATAAATAAACAACTCACATACTATGTTATACATGAAGCAGTGAGAGTTTAGGTTTAAGATAACTAGTAAAATGACATGATAATCAATGACAGACAAAGTCAGATCAATATTAATTGGTTGGCTGTCATCAAGTGTGTGTGTGTGTGTGCATCTATTGCGATTAATAAAGATACAACCGACGAACACATCTATCCATTTCATCTGTGTACACTCTAAAGAGGATACACTGTATCTCAAGGTAAATATTTACTGTACACCAAAAACTACGGTACTGAAATCATAACATACTCAGTATCTTTAAATTCAGTACGATGATGTTACAATATAATTTGAAATCGTTGTGTTGATGACATTCATTTTGAAGCTTATTCAAAATGGAGTTCAAATCTAGTATTTTTTTTCCCTTCACGTTCCCCAGTGGAATATAGGGCTTCAAGGTGGTGGCTTGAAGTTTCTGTAGCAGTGTTTATTTTACAGGATGGGGTTGCTAGCCAGCCTCATGCCCAGCCGTTACTCTTTACCAGCATTATTTCTGGCTAAGCAAGGTAAAGGAGTGCGTCTGTGGCCGGGGATCGAACCCCGGACCATATGTATGGTCAGCGAGCGTCCTAACCGCTATGCCATCGACGCACAAATCTAGTATCTGAGCAACTCTAAGGAGTGAAAATTTCCAAGTAAATGAATAACTATCACTGACTGGACTGAGGGGTTTCAGCGTGAAAATTTGTACAGAGATATGCAGCAGTACAACTTTCCACACTCTCTCCTTGTATCACACAGAACAAGAGAAGAGAGTAAAGAGTGATTCAAAAGACAGACAGAGAATAAACGGAAATATGAGGAAGAACAATAGAATTTTATTGGATATTATAAATCACAAAGAGTGAAAGCATATGCGCCAGCCACTGAGAACGAGGGTTTTGAGTCATATCACCAATTGTCTTCAGTCACTGGTTTTTTAACATTCCGAGGACCTCAACCAGTCAGAAAGCCAGTCTACCCCTCCTACTTACATCGTTGGCTTGCTTAAACTAACTGTTGTGAATTTCAGTGACTCATGTAGCCATGTTTTGGTTTGACTCCCACTAGGTGTTTTCCAACCTGATCCATCCTGTGTCAGCTAACATTGCCCATCGGTCGAGGAAGGCGATGGATGGCTAGACATGCATGCGTAACACATGTCCTAGCCATCTGAATCAGTGTAACTTCACAACCTCGTCGATTGATTTCCTCTCCTTACTTAGCACTCGACTCCTAACCTTAATCATACTCACCCTATTATACCATCTAACTATCAACTGTTTTCTCTAAAATGTGTGTGTGTGTGTGTATAGCTGCTAACCCGAAAATCAAAGGCAACAAAGACATAGATTCTTTCTGTCTCCTTCCGGAAAAGTAATCTCTTTCGACCATTTGTGAAATGATGGCAGAACAGTGTGGGTTTACCTTCTACATAGAACCGTAACGACAGAAGACAAGGGTCAGTCAACAGATCGTTTATTGAGAAAATCAACAGATATATATTTATAGACTTTTGTGTACATTATTATTAGCGTTATGCTTGTCAGAGAAGCAACGTCTTCTGAATGGTTGTTTTCTGGCTGAGGGTTATTCTGTCATCGCTTGGTGGCCGTTTCTTAGAAAGTTAAGCCATATATCTGCGAATCTTATTTGCACACATTAAGTCTGCTGTGATTGGTTTGTGAGTTTCTCAAGGTAAAGCTTTGTCATTGTTATTGTTTTTTCTTATGGCAGCGATTCGGGATGCGAACATTGAAGCAAATTGATGTCTATAATTTTGGCTAACAGACATCTCTCTTCACAGTATTACTTCTTTTGTATTTCAGAAATCGATAAAGTTTATTTAAAATCGCCTTGTGTTTTAATTACTGCAAAGCTTAGACTTCTTGTCGTCAGTATTGATAATAATAATAATAGTTAAAAATCTCTGGGTAAATCTAACCCTACAATCATGATTGCGTCCATATTACTGTTGAAGACAATTCAGTTGGAGAATATTAATTTTTTAACTGAATGCATCATATTGTTTGTCAGTGTGTATAAATATGCTTAGTTGTAGTTAACCAAGGTGACTGTGAAATCAGTGATTTTCCCTTCGCTTAACTCAATAAAGCTGAGAGCTTCATTTTGTTTAATTGGTAGTAGCATCAATGGTTCGTTCAGCAGTAGTATTCTCGCCAACCACGCGTCAGGTGGTCTGGGGTTCAATTCTTGACCGGTGCTCACCTTTGCCTCCCTCCCCTAGTTGGTTGTAAGCCCGGTTTTAACAGGGATGGTTAGTCGTGAGGTTAGCAACCTCAACCTGTAAAAGACTAGCCGAACTGCTACTGGGACTTCAGGGCTCAAGTTTGAGGCACCCATGTTCCACTAGGAATGCAAAGGAATAAAACAATAACAATAATAATTAAAATAAGACGGTGACTAACAGTGGAATCCACAAACGTCATTTAATCCTTTCTGGAATTCCTGTAATACTGTGGCGTTATTGCTAAGACTGAACAGAGATTGGAATGGCAGTCAACACTCTATCTCAACTTCATCGACTTTGAAAAGGCTTTCGAAAGCGCAGCGCCATTCGAGAGGTGATTTGGCAGCTACTTTGCTACAACAGGGGTGCGGCCAACAATTGTACATCTAATCCAACAGTTGTATGACATTGCTGCATGCCCAGTAATCCACAAGGAGAAGCTCACGGAATTCTTCTACCTGAAGACGGGAGTAAGACAAGTTGGCTGCCTAGTATGTTCAATGATTTTCCTGATTGCGGTAGACTGTATAATGGGACAGACTGAGGCGGGCAGCGAGGAACACAGGCATAAGATGGACAAATAAAAAATACTTGGAGGATATGGACTTCGCTGATGATATATGTTTGATTTCCCACAAACTGGAAGATATACAAGTGAAAAGCAACAAGTTGACAGAAGAAGCATCAAAGATAGGACTCCCTTTAGGTGAACATAGATAAAACAGAGGTGATGAAAATTCCTGGCCAACAGCAACAGAAACATCAACAGTTACAACAACAGACAACAATCAGCATAAATGGAAGAAATTAGAAGGAAGCAACCTCCTTTACCTACCTACCCACCTACCTGGGAAGCATCCTTTCAACTACAGGCGTTAATGACGAGAATACCAAAGCGATGATCATCGGCAAGCAATACAAGCTTTCATTTCTCTCAAGTCTGTGTGGAGGTCAACAACACTCAGCATCAAAAATAAGATCCGGATTTTCAACTCCAATGCGAAGTCACTGCTACTAAACGGCGTCCCGCTGCGTCACCAAGAGCACTCCGAACAAAATACTGCCGTCTTCGCTCAATACTCAAGGTCAGATGTCGAGAAAAAATTAGCAACAGGGTGGGAGCGAACCAACCCAGCAGGAACCGGTTGTGCAAGAAATATGCAGGAAGAAATGGAAGTGGATTTGCCATACTCTGAAAAAAACCGTAATCAGGTGACATCCATCACGCGCCAGGCCATCACTAGATTGTAACCCGAAAGTGAAGCGGCGAGTCGGTCGTCCAAGGCTGACTTGGAGGAGGTCATGTGAAGAGGGGACGAAAGCATGTGGGCAAACTTGGAGCCAGGTGAAAACTCTAGCAGAGAACCGAACGCAGTTAAGACGTTTGGCTGAGTCCCTATGTTCCTCTAGGAATTAGAGGAAACAAGAATAATAATAATTGCTGAAATTCGAATCCAGCATCCAACACTAGGCCGTTGGATAATGACAGCCGCTTCTTATGCAATGGATAATGGCGGTTATTTCTTTAGATTATTTCAGCATATCAGTACCTAGTGAAAAAACACCATTCACTACGGGTATAAGCCCTTCCAGTTGAAGAGTCTCGAATCGGGTGAAGTACCCGACCATTAGAGCTAAATATCCCCTTGTTATTCTTGAGACTTTGTCAGAGTGTTTGTAACAAGCGAAAGCTAAGAAGTCAATAGAGGCCAATCATTCTGGTCCAATAAAAATCAATCAGTGGGGAATACAAAATAATTCAAAAAAGTTATTAGCACCTTTACGGAAGAACAAAAGAGTTTATTGCTCTTCCTTTATCTATAACCAATGTAAGTCTAACAATCATTAGAACCAGTGTATTGCCAAATTCAATGGTGATGTCATAAATCTGGTCGATCGATTTCACTAGACCTAATTGGTGTGAAACAGAGTCATATTTTGCAATTCTTAAGTTAATCTGTCCATACTGGACAGTGGATCATGAATAACTTCGTAGTATTTGGTAGAGGTTCCAATGACGGAGAAAACTTGAAGGTTTAGGCTTTCAGACAGTTCACTTGTGATTGTCCAGGGAGTCCCACCGATTGATTTCTCAGTCATTCCATCTACTGGATATTTTAATTAGTCTGCAGACTACAAAAGCTAGTGACGTTGATTTCCCATCAGCAGCAAGTCCATGTGAGTAAACTCGTTTATCAATTAAAGCCAAAGAGAATATTCGTAACACCAAAAATAAATTGTCAGTTACCGTTTTATGACAGGTGACTTGTTTGCTTCCAATTTCGTCTTTTTTATCATTATTTATAGGCGACCTGATTGAATCATCTTCGTTTTTCTGTTCAAAACTCTTCCTATGCGGATGAATGAATGAATATAAAGCTATAATTAGCAACCAGTAATTATCCAGTGAAAATGACATAATAAAACATATGGCAACTGTATACTGAACGAGGTGCATAGTGAAGTCAATTACTGCCAAAAATATAAACAATGAGAAGGATGTTTATTCAGACTAAAGTACCTTGGGAGTAAAGTCTAGGAAAACTATTTGTTTCAACTGTTGTGTTAACTTGTAGTCACTTTAAATTTTTCTCTAGTCTGAGTGATAAATGTCCCGATTGTAGAAACATTTATCTCCTGTTCTACATCATTAAAAGTTCCAGTAGTGTCAAGCTTTCTACTTCAAAGCTTATTTCACTCACCTGCATTTTGACCCAGTATTTTTTCAAATATAAATGTATACTACTTTATTTTAAGCAAGTAGTCTATAGTTGCTGAAAGTAAAAAGTTTACATGATGTCTATGCTGTTTCAACACTCATGTGCTTGCTAGCAGGCATTACAGCAGAATCTAAAATTGGTGGGGAAAAGCTGTTCATATATCCTTCGTCCACAGTAGGTCTTCAAGTGATTCCGACAAATGGTATGATTCCACTTGAAATTCACTGAAGTTACACTCACTTCAATTAACCACTACAGCAGACGCTTTCTATGACTTCTCTAAACACTAATCTATCTATATTCACAAATGATTATCAAACATGAATGCGAATTCCGCGTACAGAGTGATAGAAAAGGAAGATGAAGTAGTGACGTAGAAAGCATCCTTTCTGATGAATCATCTTCCAAAGCTAAACAGTCGTATTCATCAGTATTTTCAAGTATTGGTTTTGTAGGGACTTTTTTCTTTTGTTTGATTGGTTGAAGGACTTCATCATGAACTGATATTGGTTGTAGAACCACTGGAAAACCATCAGGGAGTACCGGGTAGCTGTTTTATCCTGGTTTGGGGCTCTTCTGTAGTACGCAACCACTGAGGTTCGAACCCATGGCAAGCTAGATGATAGACCATCAAGCCACTGGGAATTCATATAACCAGTCAAATACTGGTAACTGTATTCTAGAAAATATTCTACATATTGTGAGATGTGATTTAGATGGCGATGTACAGATTTCAGTTAAAAAGTAGAAATTGGTATCAGGTCAGGGTTATTATTATTATTATTATTGTTTTCTTTAGTTCCTAGAGGAACATAGGGTTTCTGTCGCACGTCTCTATTGCGCTCGGTTTTCCACCAACGTAATAGGTATTAGAGTGAATTAACCAGGCTGAGTGTACAAAATGAACATAAGACGATGGAAAGATCCAACTCTCAAATTTGCCGGTAGTTCACAGTGCACAAAATTCTAGAAGGTTGAATCCAACAGCAGATTGTTCAGATCAGGCACAACAAGTGATCTGCTTGATAGCATAAATAGTCACCAAGAAAGGAAGTATAAATGGGTGGAAACTGTATACTAGTAGTTTTACACCACTCACATTAACCAGCAGTGCTTGCTGGCCAGATCACAGAAGTGGTATAGACACCGAATGGCTGTTTGGCTCGTTTCGGTTTGTCCAGGAAACTGTGGTGAACACTTCACCTCCTTCAACTGTGTAAATTGCAAATCGCGACTTGTCACTTTGATTTAAGGTTTTATATTTAAGAGTTTACTCAAATAACTAGCCAGAAATCGTGTAGCTTGTAGGGACTCCGCTATCTGAACTGAGTTGAACTCATTACACCACTGGTGAGCTCGACTGCAAAAGAGTGAAACAGCTAGCCGATGTTTAGATCACATCGATCTGGCTGACTAGCAAGCACTAGTGACTGGTTGATATCTCAATTGATCTCAGTTAATCAGTAGTATGGAGTAGAATAAAATGGATGTGTAGAAATGAAATCTGTATAAGAGATGCAAATTTACCAAATAAACAAAATCAATAAAATAAATATCAGACAAGGAGAATTAAATAAAGTCAGGGGTAGAATATTACCCTGCTCATGGTAACAGGGAAAAGTTTGTTGATTGTATCTTGGATACTCAGGGCAGGTCTAACACATGAGTTATGGACACAATACTGCTCTAAACCGTCTCAATGTGTATTTATCAATTTAATTGTTCGCGTGAAACAATCTTAATTTAAATATATAGAGTCGTCTTTTCAGAACGTTTGATATTCTCCGCTTAAATGATATTGAGGGACTCAGTGTAGCACTGTGAAGCATTCATGTGTGGGTGCTCGATGTTCGGAGATGACAAGATGTTCGAGGAGAGAGCTGAGGCTATTCTTCTTTTCTCCTCTGGCTGGCTAACCAAGCTGGACAATGCTCCAGAATACGTTTGTGGATTCGACGTTGCGTGTGGCCGATATACTTTGCTCCACACGGGCAAGTAAATTGATAAATACACATTGAAACGGCCAAAAGCGGTATCTTATTCTTAACGTTAGACTCGATTAACTGTCTTCTGGAGAATGTGATACGTAAGGTGGCTGTTGGAAATATCTTCTTCAGACATTTAGAAAGACGGTTTCTAAGAATTTCTGCTGTGATGTGACTTCTGAATTCCATATTCATGAAGAGAGTTTTCTTAGGGAACAGTTGCGATGTCTGGCGACGGAGGCTCCTCTTTCATGTTCTGTCTATGAATCTTGGTGGATATCCGTTCTCTAGTAGGGTTTCATGTAATAAATTTAATTCTTTCTCTATCATGTCTTCAGAACACACTTTTCTAATCCTTGAATTTAATGTACGTACCAGGCTTTGTTTTCGGATCAGTGGTACGAAGCTCTGGAAGTTGATAAATTGTCCCGTCCATGTTGGCTTGCGATATATCGATCTTTGAATCGTGCAATCTTGTCTTCTAGTAAGCGGCACATAGAGGAATGGAAATACCATGTTCGATTCACTTTCAAAGATGTATTTTATTGATGAGTGCGCTGCTTTGAAGGTTTTCATGAAATACTCTAAATCAGATTTTTCATCACAAATTATGAACGTATCATCTCCGCTTAATAATGTCAGCCACAAAGTCACCTTTGAACATTACCATCGTATATAAGATCTTTAGAAGACAAATGGGTTTTGTGTGTTCCCCTAAAGAAGAGAATATCAGACTCCCCGAAATGGAAATTGTGTGAGTCTACATTAAGATTGGTATGCTCCCACCCACAATATGTTCTGTAATACTTCGAAAGATAAAACGGTCACACTAGTGACCACCTCTGTGTGTATCTATAAATTGACTAACTTCTTTGCAGTGAGATGTAGAGATCGTTCAATGCTTACTAATATGTAAAAGAAGTCGGGTGATATAATCCCTAGAGGCTATCAATAGGCCATGATGAGTCAGTATGGAGTGTTAAAACTGTACGCATATCCAATACTAGTCCGTCGGTCTCGCAGGAAAGCATACTCAAATAATTTTACATAGAACTTAACACTTCCCGTAAATGGGTATGTTGTCATGTCAGTTTAGTGTAACAGAGTGAAACTCTTTTGTCGTTGACATTTTATCTGCAAACGGTTTGAATAGAAGTAATTTTAGTAATAAAAATATGCAATATTCTTAAAAGCAGTTACTTCTTTTCATGCATTTCGACAACACAATAAGAAGACGTAGTTTATCTGAAACGTGTTATGTGTATTTGTGCAACACATTTTGGACACACGTACTTGATGATACTGATATAGAAATCAAGTCTGAAGTTAAGTATCTTGGAGTAATTCTTTCTTCTGACCTATCCTGATCTTCCCATGTCTTAACGATTTCTAAAAGAATATTTCATCTGGCTTTTTACATTAAGAAGTTGAGGCACTCAGGCATAACCCAACCCTCCTCCTCTTACAGTTTGTCAACTCGTGTATTTTACCTATTCTTCTTTACTGTTCACCCTTGCTTATTCTTTCCTGGATTGCTTAAAAAAGACTATGTCATACTTCGTAGAACTCTGAAGACTGTCAGTAGGATGAGTGGTATCCCATTGAGCCATATCGTTGACATTGTCACTGATGAAAGGCACTTGATGTCATGCAACAAATTTGCTAAAGGAATTTTGTCAGACTGTGAGCACCCACTCTACCCGCAGCTCCAACCTTGTGTCTCCTCAGGTAAAACAAGAAGTCTTTTTAGAAGAATTTACGCACGTACGTCTAAGTATAAAAATTCCACTATACCATATTTAGCACGTACTTTATTTTTTATTTTTTTTATTTTCGATTACAGCTTGGTTCCACACCGCATTTTTGGTACAAGTATGGAATTTTCAGCGTGGATATCGGTAGCCCAAATTTCGCAGGCCGACCATAGATATCAGGTGTGAGTCGGCGTGGGCTCGAACCCCGGACCATATGCATGGTCGGCGAGAGTCCTAACCACTGTGCCACCGACGCAGTGTCAGGTATGAACTAACTAGCTAACCTTCTTTGCACTACTAAATAAACCATTTCTTCCACCCTTACAGTACCAAACTTTGTTGTTATTGTATTTCTTATATTTATAATCCTCTCATTTTTTGTTTTTATTTATTTATTTTTCATAATTGTGAACATCAACAGAACATTAGATTCAATACTCTAGAGTAACATGTTAAAATTTCCAGACTAAATCGACAATACTGTTTGGAACAAACTCACTGTTATTATTATTATTACTATTATTATTATTAATAATAATATTTAATGATCTCAACCCGTGCTTCGAATATTTTTGACTTTATGTCGTAAACGTGGACAAATTCCTCTGGTTAGTTTTGTTTTAATTTTTAATTTTATTTAAATTTTAAGTAAATCAGATGCAATATTGTGACAAATGCTGGGAATTCCATTCTGCATTATAAGTATTGTTTTTGGAATAAAGTAAATTATTATTATTTGTCCTAGACAGCTTTACAGAGGACAAGAAGGCATGAATCATTACAATCCAGGTCAGATTGTGTTCAGGTTAAGGTCAGAAATAGTGGGTAGGGAGATGACGTAAAGGTGTGGGTAAGAAAGAAGAAACTTAGGTGATATATACATGTCGCATGTTGAAAACCTAGTTCAGGACGTAATTGGAAAGGTTTATTTTTGTAAGAGATATATGGATGACATAATAGTAATTTGTGATAAACCGACGGATGCCATAGAAATCCTAAACCAGATCATTAGAGTACAAAACAGTATATCGCTAACATACGTTAAAGAGAATAAGGATTGTCTGCCATTTTTAGATGTACTCATAACCCGCCGAGAAGATGGGTCATTAATACGATGTGTCTACAGAACGTCCAGATGGACAGGACAGTATCTAAATTATCATAGGTTCTATCCACTACAGTATAAAAAGGCGCTGGTTAAGTGCTTGTTCAAGCGTATTCACCGTATATGTACTGCTGATACACTTGAAGAAGAAAGACAACATCTCACTGAAATATTGCCAGATAACAATTACCCAATGAGATTTATTTGGCGTTACGGAAGTGTCAACCAAAGAGCTCTACCAGTCCAAACAGCTCCCAAAAGAGGATGCTTATATATCCTTGCCATTCAGGGGGTGATCAACAAAGTCTGGTCACTAAACAAAGACTCAAGGCGGCAGTTAATAGAATTTATTATGCAGCTAAACTTATCTTCATAGAGAAAACGAGAACTATGCTGTCCTGTAAACCCTCACATTATCCGAACGATAGTGTCACATCCCATTGTGTTTATCAATTTACATGTATGCGTGGACACACATACATATGGAGGACCTGTCGGCCTCTGCAGGTTAGGCCTACAGAACATATTCCAAAGTGGCTGCAACAACAAATGAAATCGACAGATACAAGTGACCCCGGAAATAGATGTCCAACATCATCTATAGAGAAGCACATTATAGAGAGGGGTCATAGGGTTGAGTTCAGCAATGCCTTTAAACCCATGTATAAAACAAGGTTGGGTCACATACTTGAATTCTTTGAAGCCTCAGACATAAAAAGATTTAAACCTGTCTTATGTGTCCAAAAGTTATTTGTTATTGATTTAAACCTGCCATGGTAATCCAGTTTAGAACTAAGGACCAATTTACTTCCTAATATTCTCAAACCCCTTCTTTGCCTTGTTTTGTCCTCTATTTATCTTTCTTACCCACACCTTTTGCGTCTTCCTACCCATTATCTGTGACCTTGAGCTGTACACAATCTGACCTGTATTGTAATGATTGATGTCTTCTTGCCTTCTATAAAACTGTGTATGACAAGTACGTGTGTGATCAGAACGTCCGAAGTTTGTTGCGCCAATACATTATAAGTTTCAGATAAACTACATCTCCTTATTGTGTTACGTAATATTCTATCGAAAGTGTTGGAAACTGTGATTTGTCCATGTAATATGTTGGCCTGACCTGACTGTAACACTCTTCAAAGGTTGGTTGTAAGTACCGCTACGTTCCAGGTGAAATATGTTGGAATGTTGTTACTATAAGAAGTAGAGGAATAATTGCAGAGCTACATTTCCTGCATTAAATGGTTTATTTTACTCTTAAAAGCTGTTCATCTTTTGGACACAGATTCATGTTATGAAGACTTCATTGATTCTATCTATCACTAAGGATTTTTATGGTTATTTTAAGGGAAGTGCTGCTCACTGACTGTTCAAATTCAGCATGATATCGAAGATGATTCTCAATGCTGATGCAGTCTGTCTGTCTGTTTTTGACATAGAACTTTGCACAAATGTGCGGAAGTTCAAGTCGCCACATTCCGTGTAGCACGCGAAGCAAGAGAAGAAAGTACAAGAAAAGCATAATAGAAACAGTGAGCAGAGGTGTGAGACAAAGGAGTAATAAAGAAATACAAAGCAGTTTCATTGAAGATCATAAGTCACAGGGAGTGGATGCATCTGCGCCACTGAGAACGATTTTGAGCCATGTCACCAATTGTTTCCAACCATAGATTTTTACCGTCCCGAGGACCCCAGCCTGGAAGTCTACACCTTTCTACGTGGCTTAGACCAACTGTTGTGGATTTCATTGACTGATGCCAAGTTTTTGTTTGACCGCCGCTAGCTTTTTTCCAGTCTGACCCTATATCCGCTAACATAGCTCGTCGAGGGAGGCGATGGCTTGGCATACGTAACACATGTCCTAACCATCTCAGTCTTTGTAGCTTCACGGCTTCGTCGATTGATTTCCCCTGTTTACCTAGAACTCTGCGCCTAACCTCCATGTTGCTCACCTTATTATGCCACTTTACACGGGAAATAGAACGCGGGCACCTATGATCAAAGACAGCTAGTCTTTTCATGTCTTCCACTCTCAGTGGCCAGGTCTCACAACCATAAAGCAGGACGGAGCGGACTGATGAGCAGTACACCCGCCCTTTGGTTGATAGTCGAACATCTCGTCTACGCCAGAGTCGGCGTAAACTGGCAAATGCGAAACAAGCCCCTTGTATTCGTGCTGAGATTTCGTCAGAGATCAGCCCGTTGGCACTGGCTCATGGTACTTCCCAAATAAGTGAAGCGGTCAACGTGCTCTACCACTTCACTTCCTATTTTTAAACTAGGCGTCGATGTAGTCCAGTCCTGTAACATCATCTTGCATTTGGCGGGAGCGAATCGCATGCCAAACATTCGTAGATTGCGGCTCAAGGTGTTTAGAAGACTCTGCATTTCGTCAGCGTCTTCGCCTAGAAGGACTATTTCGTCTGCATATTCCAAGTCAACGAGATTATTCCCCGGTAGCAAGTCAATCCCTGAGTCGCTGAAGTCACCTAGGGTTAAGTCCATTAACACATCTATGATGAAGTTGAATAGAAAATAAGATAATGGGCATCCTTGACGGACACCATTGGTTGTCATCAGTTCAGATGACAGCTCGCCGTAAGCCCTCACCTGGCTGTATGAGTACGAGTAGAGTGCCTTAATCAGTGCAATATATTTTTTCTCGGAATTCCCTTTACAGCCAAGCATCTCCAGAGAACTTCCCGATCGACAGAGTCGAATGCTGCCTTTAGGTCAAGAAATATAATGACTGTTGGACGCCGGTAGGAATGCCTATGTTCTAGAATCTGTCGGAGGGTGAAGATATGATCAATACACCCTTTTCCTGGTCTAAAGCCTGTCTGGCTCTCTCGTGTTTGTGCTTCCTGAGCACCACTCAGTCTACGCATGATTATTGAGCCTAAGACTTTAGATACTATATTAGTCAAGCTAATCCCTCTGTGATTATCACAGGAAGACTTGTCTCCCTTCTTGTATATGCAGTACACTGTACAATAGACTTTATGGTGAATAGTCAAAGATCATATGAATAGGCAACGATTCTGTCTGATCTTCCTGTAACAGAAAACTCTTAACAATACGTAATGTACACGGAGGGGTTAAAATTCATTCGTACAAACCGTTGAACAGACAGACAGTGATGCGTTTTATTTACTTTGTTATTATCAAAGTTGCAGATGCGTTGGACGCGAGTAGCAAGAGATCTAATTAGGTTTCTTTTACATCTGATTGGCACCCAGCTGTAGAAGATTGTCCGTTGGCCGTTCCATGTGAGTTTCAAAGTTGACTAGGTTAATTGAGACCTTTGAGAAGAACAGAAAATCAGTTTTCCACCATGTAAAGTTTAAATTATCTTCAATTAAATCCTTCCAAATGTCAGACAGTTAATTTCATCATCAGGAATAAACGTGATCTACACAAAATGATTAGTTCAAACGATGCTTGTAGCTTGTAGAGTGCATTGATATAGAGAATAAGTCAAGCATAGAATACTATTCGAATAGTTCCATCCCCTTACCTTTCTTGGTCTCCTAATATCCGGTCTAACCTGTCTAAGAAGATGTCCTGTCTAGCCTACTACATTAAGTAGTTAAGGCAATCTGCGATTACTGAACCTCTACTTTTACAATTTGTTAACTCTTGCAGCTTATCTGTATATACAAGCATATTAGTACTCAATCAATTGATAACAAAGCTCAGAATATTCTCTGACTCGATATTAATGTGATCGCCCATTCATCATTTGTTAACTGAATAAAGAAACTCAACATGCAACATGCATTCAACATTGACTAACCTCAAAATTGGATTGATCACTGAATGTCCTCCATTCGAACATTTAACACGTGGTAGAGGATTTAAACCTGAGGTGAACGTCTTCGATCGTGTAATCGTACTTGAACTATTCGCATCTGTAAAGCAGTTTTAAAACAGATGCAGTTAAGGCAACAGAAAAGACAAATATTCATGAATATACTGGAAAGTAGGAGTGCAGGGTTCCCACTAGTTATAAGTTAGATGGCAATAGTTTTTCATCATGAACTGATATTGGAAGACCTGTGTGGAGTACTGCATACCTGTTTCATCCTAGTGTGGGTTCGCTCTTCATCAGTGGGCACTCACCCACCGCAGAAACTTCTGAATCCTGAACCTTACAGTTCCAAGGCGAACTCGTAAACCATTAGGCAGACACTGGGACCAGATCCACTAATGACTAGCCCTGTTCAGGTAGGTAGATGGTTACCTAAATTCTTCCAGTGGGAAATCAGGACCAGTGGATCGGGTGTGAGGACAAATACTCTACGATTACATTAGCTAGTGGTTGCGATATGTTGTGAATTGGTAGAAGTTGGAACCCTTGGGCTGGCTATTGGTTCGTGTCCCAGTGGCTACTTAATTGTCTACGAGTTCACCTTGTAACTGGAGGATCCTGGGTTCGAATCCACTGTGATGGGTGGGTGCCTACGCTAAAGATGAAACCAAAACTAGGAATAAATAGCTGTGAAGGTTTTCCACTGATGCTCTAACCGATATCAGTTCATGATGAAATCCTGAAACAAATCAAATCCCTGCAAACCAATACTTGAATAATAAGAGTACTCCATTTCTTCATTAATACACAGAATAAGTTTATTTATATGGCATCATATATTACCTCATGGGATATGGCCACACCGACGTTTTAAAATGTTTAGAAGGAAGGAAAGGCACCCACTGAGGCTACTTTGTCAAACTACCAAAGAAAGGCAACTTAGTCTTCTACAAGAACTGGCACCGATTCATATTCTTGTCCACGCCAAGTAAAATACTTAGTCTTGTCATTCTAGAGAGAATAAAGGATGTGATTGATGCAGAACTCCACCACCTAGAAAAAGCTGAGTTCAAGAAAATCAAATTATGTGCGGTTCAAATTGCAAAGCTACGCATTGTCATCACAGAACAGAGCATAAAATGACGGTCAAATCTCTATCTCAACTTTAATAACTTTGAAAATGCTTTTGATAGACAGCGTTCACCATGTTATAATTTGGAAACTACTTCAACAATATGAAGTGCAGTAACCGAAGTCCTTATTAAGCTGATTCAACAGCGATACGACAGTGGTACGTGTCAGGTGGTCCACAAACGAAAAACCAGTGAAACTTCTGAAGCGAATACAGGATTTAGACAAGGCTGCCTATTATCACCAGTCATATCCCTAGTTGTCATGGGCAATATGCGCCACATCACGCCTTGGCAGCGAGGAGACAGGAATACGCTGGACTGACTAGAAGACTGTAGAAAATCTGAACTTCAGGGCTGATTTATGTCTAGTGTCACATAGACTTGAAAACTTACAGGTGAAAGCCGACAAGTTGGCAGAAGATGCAGACAGAGAAGACAAAACTTCAAACAAACATAGAGAAGACGGGGGAGACTAAGATACCTGTCGGTCTACAGTAATGACAAAAAGCACCAAACCCTATGAACAGAAGGAATTTGGTAGAGATGAATTCCTTCACTGGTCTAGGAAGCATTTTTCCAATCAGAGACACTGGTACAGATGAGGAATTCAGAAAGAGAATCAAAAAAGTAAGGCAAGCATTCATCACTGTGAAATCAGTTTAACAGTCTTCCGTATTCTGCAGTATAAATATAACAAAATTCGGATTCTCAGCACCAATGTCAATTCAGTCAGCTCTTCTATAAGGGTAAGGAACCTGACACGAGCGTTACTGAATTCCTTTCTAACAGGCCTCTGCAGACTTCTGTTGACAGCTGCCTTCTCTAGCTCCATATTGAAGATGTCAGTTGGTTGGATAGAAAGAATCGACGCCAACGAACTCTGGGATCGAACCAATAGAGAACCGACTGCCCGACAAATATTCTGAGGAAAATGGTGATGCATTGGACGCACACTAAGAAGACTATTGAGTGTCTTCACGCGCCAGGCTGTCGTCCAAGTGGAGTCCGAACAAAAAGTGATGGAATGACTGTCGTTTGGAGGCGATATGGAGGAAATCGTGTGAGAAGGTGATGGCAAACTATGGTCAGTCGTGAAGCCAGTTGAAGTGGACTGCAGAGAGGATGATAAATGGAGATGTTCTGTGGAAGCCCTATGTTCCACTCGAAACTGGATGGTATAGTAATAAAATAATGATAATAATACTTGCGTTTATGATGAACATTATATTGTCATATTAATTTCAGTGATAGATTTCTGAATGTACTCTGGAAATTACTTACCACGATAAAATTGCCGTTTTCGATAAATAGGAGAATTTGTATTGGAATTGTACCGTATTAATTGTTGCATTAAGGATCTTGTAGCCAGTATTGCATCTCTCTTCACTTTCACTTCTTCAATTTGTGATTTCTGTTCATCTGCAGCATTCATCTTGGCTTCTAATGTTACTGGATAGAAAAAGACTTTGGCAGCGGTTCGTTTTGTATCATTGGGGAGGGAGTTTTCACATTCATAAGGTAACCATACAAGTAGCAAACTATAAGATAATCCTGAGTCACCTAAATATTAGAAACAATAGAAAAGGAAAAAGTGTATTAGTTACTCAGAGTTAACCAACCTAATGAAAAACTTTCAATTCGATGTGTCTTGCTCAGGTGATTTTGTAATATACTACTTATTATTTTATTCCTTTGCATTCTGAATGGAGCATAGGCCTTCAGGGTCTAACGCCCGACCTTCCCTGTTTATCGAGATTACTATCGGCTAAGCGACGTATCAGGGTTGCGTCTGCAGGAGGATTGAAGGTGAGATGTGATTGGGGAGGGGGCATTCTAACACTGAACTACAGACACTCAGTTTTCCATAATTCCAAGCGATTTATCTCAATATAAACCCGTAACTATTAAGCCATCAAGGTTACTGCAGCCAAAAAGAATATTGGCGCGTCCCGAAAAGCATTTCCAACAGGTAGCTGCAGATTTTTAATCAACAGGTGCCTTCACTTTAATATGTGTGTAAAACTTGGGCACTGTGGTAGTAAGTAATTCCATATTAGTTTGTTTATTAGATATATCACACAGTGAAACAGTATTACTGTTTACTTGATGACAAGGTTTCGAACAAAATTTATTGTTCATAATCATATAAGTTGTAATCACACGACTTTGAAACTTGAGTTTTATAGTTTCCTAATTGTTCTCTCTTATTTGTCGTCGTTGGGGTAGTAGAATTTCCTAGATGTCCGGCTGGACAGGTGTTGAATCATTCCTATTACACGAGTGTTTGCAGTTGATTCGATAAACAAACCCTCCGTTGTTATCAATCTCTCCCTCCACCCAGCTGTTACATTAGATTTTAAAACTGTCATCTTATCCAATCCTATTGTGTGATTGTGTGTAATTGCATGTAGTGAGTGCTATCTAAGGCTGAACTATTCTCCAGATTTCTTATCTTATTCAAGTCAACTAATCTAGATTTCGCTTGGATTTTATGTTCGGCTAGTCTGACTGCTCTTGTTCTGTTAGTTTGACCTATGTAACTGAACTGATAATCATTCCAGCAGGGTATTAGATAAACTAAATTGTGTTGTTTTAAATGCTCCACAGGATTGATCCTTTAACCGACAAGGCTTGTTTCTAAATGAATTTGTGGTTGGTTTGAATACCAGCCACTTTTATTCCTGCCTTGTTAAGAATTCTGGTTAAGGCTTCCGAGGTTCTTTGGTTGTACGGAATCACTACTGATGATTTAGATTCCTTATTGTTGGTTTTGTCTTGAGCATGTTTGACATGCATGTCGTCACTAATATTATTATTACTATCATTATTTTTATTATCACTATCGCTAATATCATTATTTATTTTATTTTCACATTTCATTACATATTTCTTGACTAATTTATCCGGGTAATTATTAAGTTTCAAGGCTTCTTTTAAGTGTATCACTTCCTGTCTTAGATTTTCCTTGGTACTACTTAGTTTTTGTGCTCTGTCATTTAAACATTTCACGAATCCTATTTTTACTGACATAGGATGGGATGATCGGAAATCCAAATATCTGTTTGAATGTGTGGGTTTTCTGTAAACACTAGTGTTTAGCTTCCCATCTTCTTTCCTTTTTACGTTGCAATCTAACATTGGAAGTCCCCCTTCCTGACTTTCCAATTCATAAGTGAATTGAATTGCCTCTACCTTCGAGTTGATGTGCTCGAAAAATCTATCTATATCTTGTGTTCTAACTACAGTGAATGTGTCATCTACATACCTCCACCATACTTTTGGGGTGGGGGTGGACGTTACAATCGCTATGCTTTCCCACCTATCCATGAATATATCTGCTACAACCGGGGATATTAGTGATCCCATGGTAACTCCCTTAGTTTGTTTGTATATTTTCCCTTGGAATACTGTGGAAGTCAGGCATAGCTGCCTTCACTCCATAATGAAGATCACATGACAGGCTGGTAAGAAAGGATAAAAAACAGGAATCTCTAGCAGTCTACATGTGTCGGTCCGTCTATTCCACGACGAATACCCTGAAGGAAATAGAGATGGATCAGACGCACTCTGACGAGACCGCTGAGTAACAAGGCGCACCTGGTAATCAGTCGAATGGAACTCGGGTGGGAAACGATGAGTTGGGCATGTGTTTGAGGGTTCCGTGAAGGAGGTTGTATGAGGAGGAGGTCAACTGATTCAACTGAAGAGGACTGTGAAGAACAGGAAAATTGGAGATGTGGTGCTGAAGAATTATATTCCACTCGGAACCAACACTTGACAACTAATCTGATGCTCATAAATGACTGGCCCTACACAGAAAGTATCTGCTGTTCTAGTGAGAAGTCGTGACTAGTGGGATCAAAGATTTAGTTAAATAGTTACCCGTCCGTGACAGTGTCGGGGGCTGCGTCAAATATATATCCCTAATTGGCAGAAGTGGAAATTCATGAAACGTTGGCTTGATGGTATACGAGTTCCTCTAGTAACCAAGGAGTCGCGGGTTCAACCGCCCCCCTACAGAATCAGTGAGTTCGACTTCTACTTCTTGGAGTAGAATGCAGAAAGTGTGGAAAGACGATCATTATAAGTTAAGCAAGATTAAACATTCGCTGGAAAGAAAAGACGACTTGTGATGACCCAAGGGGATAATCAGCTGGTGGATTGGTTACTTGTCATCAGACAATGAATCGCATTGCAAATGCTCAGAAATTTCTGTCCATACTGAATATACTACTGACACATGGGAATATGCTCGTCACACACGCAGGCAGTCAATCAGTCAGTCAGTAGTAGGATTCGACTCGAAACCAGACATAAATGTGGTCTTACAAGTGGGAAATGGTAGCTATCTCTTGAGATTTCCTCTAGGCGATGCATTGTGCGAGTTGAGAATGTGTTTTCTCAGGCGTGGGAATCCAGATGTGCAAATGACTCATTGATAGTAAGGTGTTGTAATTTTCTACAGGTCAGGAAGTGGTGGTTCGGCGTGATTAAATTAAATCAAATTTATCCTGCCTGTGACTGGCCGAGTAATAGGCCGCCCTTATGAATTAACAAAGTCAAGCCTGTGGGTGTAATAGCTGTTGATGGTGGTGCTGTTCCTGTTCCTGTTGTTGTTGTTGTTGTGATGTTGATGATAGTTGTGTATGCGGTTCTGATTGGACGTGGCTGCCTTCTAAATCACTCGCCCACTGACTCAATGAATTGCAACGATGACGAAGAGCACCGTTCAGCCAATGGTGATCTAACCACGCCTCTTCTTCACACATTCACCATCTCATCCTCAAGCTCACCACACACCAAACGCTTCCCACCACACCTCACTCACTCACGGAATCAATCAATCATCCTCAGATACACATCGCTTCCTGACACTATCTCACCATCTATCAATCACACACACATACGCACACACACACTCGCCATCTATCTCTCTGTCTCCCACTCACTCTGCATCTCTATATCCCTAACCCAGTCTCTATCTCAATCTCCATCACAGACCTCTGACTCCACCTCTGTTTTCACCTCCAACTCCACCTCTATCTCCATGTCAATCTGTATCGCCGACTCTCTGGCTCCTCCACAATTTACGCCTCATTCACTAGTTAACTTCCAATATGTAAGTGAGTTGCTTATCATCCAACCTGACTGACTGATTGACTCACACTTTTTTCGTAGTTGCCTTTCGCCTTTTTAGCTCTGCTTCTTACCAGCTATTCAAAATCACCTGAAAGAGATCATCCCAGTTCTATGGCTTCTGAATTAGGTATGTTGAATACGTTAACAGCTAATGGCTGTTTAATTTTTTAGGTATTCATCTGTAGGTCATTCCATCTGAATACTATTGTGAATAGCAAATATTTCTTGAAATTTCATAACAGGATTTGAGCAAAGTAATTTGTATTATCGGGCCTAAATTTCCATCAAACCTTACTGATTATTTATTTATTATTCCCTTGAGTTCCGAGTGGAACACAGGGTTTCAACACACACTTCTCCACTTTGTTCTGTTTCCTGCCCTCCTCTTCAGCTGGGTCCACGATTGACCAAATTCTCTCATCTCGTCCTCGCCTAATACGATCTCCTCCATGTCACCCTAAGACGACCTACTCGTCGCTTCCCATTTGGATTCCACCCGAGCAACGGCCTTGGGCGCGACGTCATTCGATGGCCTCCTCAGTCTATGCCCGATCCATCTCCATTTACTCTTACATATTTGTCAAGCGATCGGCTGTCTCCTGTTGGTTTGTTCCAATAGTTTCTTGTTGCTTATTCTTTCTCGCCATTTGATCTTCAGTATGTAGCCGTTGAAGGCAGCTGTTGATGAAAGTCTGCAACAAGCTGTTGGAAATCCCTTCCGTTACACGCCAAGTGTCTGACACATATAGTAGAACCGACTTGACATTGGTGATGAAAGTGCAAATCTTGTTCCCCATACTGAGTGCTGATGATCTCCAAACTGATTTCATGTTGATGGAGGCTTATCTTGCCTTTCCGATTCTGACTTCAACATCTTCACCCGTCCCGCCTGTTGTTGAAACGATGCTCCCCAACCGGATAAGTGAAGAAGCCAATCTCTGTTAAATCTCTCCCTCTGATGGCGATTTTTGCTGGTTGCTGTTGATTGGTAATGATAGGCAGCCAGCCCTGTCTTACTCGTGTACGCACTTCAAACACCTCGCTGAGTTTTCAGTTGTGGATCACCACCTGACACGTGCCATTTTCATATAGCCAGCTGTTGAATGAGGTTGACAAAGACTTGGGCACTGCAGGCCGTTGTGTTGAAGCAGTTTCCAAATTACTTCTCAGTCAACCCATGAATGGTGAAGGCCTCTCCGAAGTTGGTGAATTTGAGGTAGAGGTTTGACTGCAATTCTATGCTTTGTTCTGTGATGACGATGCGTAGACTTACAATTTGGTCAGTACATGATTTGCCTTTGCTGAATCCAGTTTGTTCCTGGCGGAGTTTCGTATCCAGTGTATCTTTTATTCTTTCAAGGATGATGCGACTCAGTGTCTCACTTGGCTTGGACGACATCATTATTCCACGCCAGTTCTTGAACAGTGAGGATTAAGTCGCCCTTCTTTGACAGTTTGACGAGGTAGCTCTTCTTCCAACCAGCAGGCACCTTTCCTTCTTCCAAAAATGTTTGCATCATCATCATTAAGTTACTATTCTATACATATTCTACGTACATAAGTTAATCTAATACACTAATCATTACAAATACTTACCAACACTACCGCTGGGAATCGCCATCATTTTCAACTTCCCCAAACCAAATTTCTCGAATAATAATAACAAACTACTTTTTTGTACACCAGTAGTAAGATTTGTTTTCTGTAAATGATTATTAAACACTGTAAGGTATATTTTCTCATCGATGGTACTAGGTAGAGATGAATTTGTTACACTAGATGTAGGCTGTGAACAATGAAATCTTGTCCAGAATTTATTATTACTGCATATCTGAAGAACAGTTAAACCATATTTCAAAGCTGATCGTAACCATTTCATCATTGGGTACTTTTTCTCATCATCTTTCGTTAACCAGTATCTGGATGGCTTATTTGAAGTTGAATTCATTCTGATAGGATTTAATAAATCGATAATATTTGGGAGAATTAAACAACAAAAGCTTTTAAATTGAAAATCTTCTTGAATCACTTCGGTGAATAGGATGTCCAGTGTTGTTTGAATTCTTGAATTCCATTGTAATACAACAATGATATCGATCCTGTTTGGAAAGTGAAAAGAAATACAGAGGGGGGGGGGTTGATGCAATGTGGAAAGGCACAATAAATAGCCGATGAGGAAAATTTAACAGAAAGACTGTTTAGAAAATCCCTCTGAAACAGTCTAATCACAATATTTATACTTACTTCTAACTAACTTTGTAATTTTAAAGTTTTGGATTTTTTTTATTATAGCTTGATTCCACACTGTATTTTTGGTACAAGTATGGAATTTTCAGCATGTGATATCGGTAGCCCTAATTTTGCCGGCCGCTATATCGTGGATTGACAGAAGTTAGAATCCAAGGACCATTGGATAGCGTCCCAGTGGCTAAATGGTCTACGAGATAGATCGCCTTGTAACCAGAAGGTCCTTGGTTCGAACCCCCTGTGGTAGGCGAGTACGTACCTTCGAAGAGTCCCAAACTAGGACGAAACAGCTCTCCAGTACCCCGAGGTCTTCCAGTGGTTCACTAACCAACGTCATCTCATGATGAAATCCTGTAACTTTGTAATTTTTATCCCCTTTCTCCCCTTGCTCTGCATCATTCTTCTGACATTCACAAATCGTATGTTGACTTCATCCTAATTATTTGTCTTTGTCCCTGTTTAGTCTCTAATTTTCATGTTTCTCCCAGTAGTTGTGTGATACATTGACAGTGTGTTGTTCTACCATGTCGTCTTATCTCAATGAATGGAAGTCATTCAGATCTTGGCCTATCTTTCAGAATTGTTTAGTGTGTGATTCTTTTCGTGGACAGAGTTTTGGTCCCACCCTGATCAGAACATTCTACTTGATTCATTGGTACTTCCTCACTCTTGAATTCTGCTCAACTAATTTTGTTCTTCAGTACTCATTTTGTACTTAGAAAATTATCACTTACATGTACAGCTGCCTTACGGCGTTGATTGAGGTAATTTTCATTTTTAGATGTTGTCGCTATTGTTCAATAGAAGCACACATAGCCTCCAATGACAAACAAACGTTATTTTTCTGTCTTTGGAGCATTTTGTGACAGTGTGTCTCTCAAGGAAGTTTTGGTCAGCTATACAGAGTAACACAGAAATCGGTATCCTGCATTCAGACTAAAACAAGTCAGTTTTAGTCTCAGCAAAGAAGCCGAATGATATGACAAAGAAACATTTATGACTGTATCACAGGGAATTGAGAAAAATCCACACTGATTGGCCTGTAACATATATAAGATATTTAAAATATCAGTACATACCATGCATATAAGATGCAGGGATAGGCTAACTTATATTCGGAAAGGACCACACAGTAGTTCCTTAACATCACTAAGTTAGATCAGGGTGGATAACAGTAACAAGAAGATTTGTTCACTGAGTATGATTCACAAATGTCTTTATCTGAAGTGTTAGGTTGTCTTCATGAAAGATAAAGTAGAAGAACTGGAGCTACATTTCAGATAAATAATGTCCCGGGTTCGATCGATCACTAGAGGGATTGTGGGTCTGCAGTGTTGAAGAGTCTCAAGTAAGAACGAAAAACCTGTCAATTGCTCACTTCCAGTTAAGTCCCAAACTAGACTGATGAGACAGCTGTTCAGTACTCCCTACAGGTTTTCCAATGGTTCTCTAATTAGTGTCATTTCATGATGGAATACTATTGTTACCTCCTAAATTGTAACAAGTAGAAACCTAGCACTATTGCTTTCCGATACATTCACGAATGTCTCTATTTTCTGTTGCCTTACCTGCATCTGTTTTGAAATCGTTTTACAGATGCGAACAGTTCAAGTACGATTACACGATCGAAGACGTTCACCTCAGGTTTAAATCCTCTACCACGTGTTAAGTGTTCAAATGGAGGACATTCAGTGATCAATCCAATTTTGAGGTTAGTCAACGATGAATGCATGTTGCATGTTGAGTTTCTTTTAATTCAGTTAACAAATGATGAATGGGCGATCACATTAAAATCGAGTCAGAAAATATTCTGAGCTTTGTTATCAATTGATTGAGTACTAATATGCTTGTATAAAAAAATGTTTATGCCCCTTTCTAATAAACATTGATGATGTAAGTATACTTGTCTATGGATGTGAATCTTTTCGACTTTCTAATTCACATCACCCCTTGTCTGCTACCTGCTTCTTCGATTCAGTAGAAACAGAAAATACTGTCATGTGAACTAATGAATGAGGAGATGGCATAACGGTAGTTAGCCATTTTGATAAATTCTACGAAGACATTAAGAAGGAAACTACAGGCGAGATGATATAGTCATTTCATAGTTTCTCTAATAATCGTTTTACAACTGACATGGATCTCAGTAGTAAGAAAAGTGGGTTTGACAATTACTCAGTTGCATAAAGACACACGTATTCTAGTGTTGATTTGTAGGAATTTGATTTGATTAATTACAGGATCTCATCACGAGCTTACATCGGTCACCGAATCATTGAAAAACCACCAATAGGTGACTACTGGACAGCTAGCTGCTTCAAAATCCTAGTTTTGGTTCGTTCCTCAGCAACAAGCACTCATCTACCAACAGGGTTTGAAATCAAGATCTTCACGTTACAAGATTCCTTGAAGACCCTATTGGAAGAGACAATATCATGCGGTGAATTCCACTGGAAATTCTGTACACCACACATAAACACTGTTCAGAATAAAAGTATTCTTTTAATTATTATTATCATTATTAAGGCATAGTAATCCACTTGAAACATTTGGAACACTTTTTATTACAAAATAAACTAATCCAGTCACTATTGCTACTTTGATTTGATATGAAATCTAAGAATTTATGAGTAATATATGACATCTAACTATTTAGTTATGTTTGAACTTTTGACAGGCATCTTCCAATCAAGAGATGATATGTCAACTTATGTTGAGGATTTCGTTCGGTTGAAATTTAATCAACAGTTGGTTTGTAAGGAATTCGATTTGTTTTTACGAGTTTGACCATGGATTGATATTAGTTAGAGAACGATTGAAAACCAGCCATAGGGAGTACTGGAAGGCTGTTTTATCAGCCCAATTTGGGAATCATCGGCAGTACGCACCTATCACAAGGGATTCGAACCCAGTACCTTTCGGTTACAAGGCCAGCAAGCTGGTATACCATTCAGCCACTGGGACCCGATTCAATGGCCAGCCAGTCCATGAATTCTAACTTCTACCAATTCGTGATTTAGCACGACCACCAACCAATGTCGTCAATAGGACATCCATCGTCACACGTGACTGGATCGACCTCAGTGGTCACGACTTCTCACTAGAACTCCAGGAAACTCTATCCTGTAGCCAGTCACTCACTAGCGAGCAACAGATTAATTTTCAAGAGTTGGTTTGTAAGGTTTAGAGCCATTGAATCAGGTCCCAGTGGCTGAATGGTATACGATCCAGCTTGCCTTGTACCTGGAAGGTCCTAAGTTCGAACCCTTGTGGTAGGTGGATGCGTACAGATGATGGTTCCAAAAGTAGGCTGATGAAACAGCTGTCCAGTACCCCAGTACTGATTTTCAATGGTTCTTTAACTAATATCAATCCATGGTCAAACTTGTAAAAATTAATCAATCAATGGAAGATACAGAATAGCTTCACCAAATAAGATAAGTAAAGCATTTATCGATTTTTCTGCCTCTCAACTAGCTAACTAACTAACTAACTAACTAATAACGATGTATTGTGTATTTATTGAGAATAATCTTTAAGTTCACGATAAATTGTCAATTACTCAATGACCTGAAATTTAATCTACTAAGTCAGTAATGATGTAAAGTGAAGCGTTGACAGCAGAAATACTTTCTTCTTGAGATAAAGGTTATATATATATACTATAACCTGTATTTATCAAATATAATTTATGACATAATAACGTGTGATAGACTAAATTATCAGGATTAGTGAAGCACTAGTGTGAATATATATCAAATTCGTTTGAAACTCTAAAGTGAATGAACGAATGAACTCGTTGAGTGAGAGATTATTCAAATAAAGTCGAAGAAAGCAGACAGGTGACAGAGAAAAATCACTATTTCCAATGTTAAAATATTCAAATAAGTAATTCAATGATTGTACAGGATAGAATAGAACTCAACTGTTCGATTGGTAATAAGTAATGTCATAGTCTTTTTGGCATTATTCAAGTGATTTTAAATTGCCAGCTTTCAAAGATTTGAATGATTACAGGTTCGACTGATCATGAACTAATATATTAGTTAAAGACAAAGAAGCATTGGAAAACTACCAGGAAGTAGTGGACAAGTGTTTAGTTCTAGTCTGAGACTTTTCAGCAATACTCATTCATTGTTATTGGAACCCAGGACCTTCCAGTTACAAATAAGGTGACCACTCATTCACTAGGACTAAATCCAATGGCTAGGGAATTCTAAATTCTTATAAATGGTGATATATATTCAGCGTAACCGCCAACCACTTTAATTAGCAAATAACTATTCACTTGAATTGAATTTTTGATTTTCCCGTCGATTGATTGGACCGAAGTGCTCGGTCTCAGGTTGACATGTCGGCTTCTTGTGCAGATGCTTCGACGATGTCTGGGTATTTAGTTAGTATACAATTGGTGGATGGTGGCTAGCAGTGGAATCCAGGATGCGCATTTCCTACTATTTGGGATTCGTCAGCTGGATGTACCTACATTTCTCAGTGAGTGATGATGTTCCCACCGAGGCTCGAACCCAGTACCCATAGTTTCAAACGCCAAAGCGTTATCCACTAGACCACTTGGGCCACGAGAGCCACCTCTTGTGCCGAGCACTTCGGTCCAATCAATCGACGGGAAAATCAAGAATTCAATTCAATAATTAATATGACCCGTCGCACAAGAGGTGGCTCTCGTGGCCCAAGTGGTCTAGTGGATAATGCTTTGGCGTTTGAAACTATGGGTACTGGGTTCGAGCCTCGGTGGGAACATCATCACTCACTGAGAAATGCAGGTACATCCAGCTGACGAGTCCCAAATAGTAGGAAATGCGCATCCTGGATTCCACTGCTAGCCACCATC